GCATTTGCCTTCAGGATTTATTAACTTCAAAGGAATCTTGAAATCAATTGATTTATTAGGAGTTCTATTATATAAGTTTATAGATACATCCACAGCAAACGGCCACATACTCTTGGGCAAATCGGAATCAATCATTAGTGACCTAGTTTTCTCAATAAGGGTTCTATTAAATCTTTCTGCGGTACCATTATGTGGTGGAGTGTGCGGGCTAGAAAAATTTGGTTCTATGCCCTCCCTTTTCATTACTTCCAAAAACTTTCCTCCTGTGAATTCAGTACCATTATCAGGTCGGATAAAACTGACCGTTTCATTTCTACCTAGTAGATTTCGTGCACTAATCAGGAAAACCTCTAAACAATCACCTGATTCAGACTTGTGTTTTACCGAATAGGCCAATGCAAATTTGGTGTAGTCATCCACAAAAACTATTATATATCGACATTGATCTGGGAATGAAGTTGGTTTAATTGGACCAATGGTATCTGCATGAATCATATAAAGTGGCTTGATAGCTCTGGTTCTTGTTTCTTTAAATGGTAGTTTCGTCAATTTTGCAAGGATACAGGTCTCATAGTTCATTATATTTTCGTCGAATTTTATTCCTTTCAAATTTACATCTAATTTCTGTAATTCTTTGAGATAAGCTAACGAAGGGTGACCTAATCTAGCATGCCATAACATACCTTTGTTTAATTTTTCAGTGGGTATTTTTCTAATTCAAATGACGTGAACAGGTCTTCTATTTTATCTGCATCTTCTAAACTATCTATGTCTACCAATTTATAATTTAAATGTTTGAGTGAGGGATTATTGTTAAGTATTGAACTAAAATTGATTTCTTCCACAATGCACTCCCTCTCAAGTTCAGCATCTATATTTTTATTTTGGTTATTTTCGTCTAACTCGTTAGATGATTTAATAGGAGTTTCATCAGGGGCTTCACCAAGAGTGATCATTCTCGCGTTGCATCTATAACTATGATATTTTTCCTCTAGAACATCAACAGGACTCTTAATACTCAGCGAAATAATCCAATTTGGTTTATTATAAACGCCTGATAAATACACATGATTTGTTTCTTTGTCTAAAACTTTCAAAATTCGATCATCTAAATATATACTAAAACCTGCATCAACAAACTTTCTAAGCGACATTAGATTTTCACTAATATTTTCCGCAGCTAGAACGTTTGGCAGTACAATAATTTTACCCTGACTATCAAGTTTTTCTAGAACAAGGTCCCCTTTTCCATCTATTTTAATATCAGCAGTACTATTTTTATTCGCACTTCTAATAACCGCCCCAGGACATTCTTTAAAGTTGGATAGAATAAAGCCCTTATTTATTATATGTTCTGTTGCACCGGAATCAGCCAGGAAACTTATATTATGAATTGAGGTATGAGTATTACTCTTACCTTGAACCGCTGCATGTGCTGCTGCAGTTTTAGCGTTATTCTGATGCTGATTGTGTGGGGTATATGGTCTAGCGTTGGATTTAAAAGATCGACTTTTACCTCTAAATATACTCCCGCCTCTGTTTCCTTTATTATTTTTACCTCGATTATTATTACTTCTACCTCTATTATTATAATTATTATTGCCTCTTCCTCTAAAACCTCCGTTGTAGCCGACTCCCTCTAAATTTTGACCCCTTTTGTAACCTTTTGACCTCTATAAATATTATTTACGTACCCTCTAGATCCATAATTGCCTCGTCCATTGTTAGGACAGTTTCTTCCGTTGTGAGAAGCTATCCTGCGGCAAACATAACAGAACCACTCATTCGTTGCAATGAGTGGGCAGTCATCTTTTGCATGCCCATGCTTATTACAACGCCAACAGGCATCAGTGCCACCACGGTGACCAAAGGCAGTTTGAGTTGCGTCTGCTACGCTTGCCTGACCTCTAGCTTCTAGTTGTCTTCTATGGGCATCTGCTTCTAACTGCAACACGATAGATTTTATTTCATCTAAAGTCATGTTGCTGTTTTCTGGATTAGCCTTTTTGATCGAATATGCAATGCTAAGTCCTGGGAATTCGTCTTTTACAGCTTGATAAAATGCACATCTCTTTTCAACCTCGGTAAGAGGTAATTCCCTTCCACAAAGTTCTGACTTTTTTATTATAGCATTAAACCTGTCACAAAATTTATCGACCTTTTCGCTTCTACCTATTTTCATGGAATATCTTACTGTTACTTCAGAGACGTTATTCTCAAGTTTCTTTGCATCTTTTATTATTGACAAAATAGTAATAGGATCTTTAACATCTAAAATTTTCTTATGATAATCTTCTTCTAAATGATTAATTATTATGTCTCTTACTATTTTGTTTCTTCTAGACTTTTCCAATGTATCATATGGCTTAGTACAAGATATTGAAGGATCTATTACATCTAAAAGATCTCTGGCTTCTAATTCAGAATTCAAATAGTCAAACCAAATGTTTAGGTTCATGCTTCTAGTCAATTTGTATTCACGTTTAAAATTATCTTTCGCTACATTATTGTTTTTCGCAATAGAGTGTGCTAACGCGCCTATAGATTCAGATAATTCTTTATTAACGTCAAAAGAATTTTTAGTGACGGATTCTCTCACAGTGTTAATTGAAACTGATTGTACTACATTTTGAAAATTAATGTCTGTGTCATCTAATATATCAGAATTATTTGGTATTCGGGTTGGTAAATTAATATTATTTAAAGGAGTCGAGCTATTCGGAGTTAATGAATTGTTGGGCTGTGACTGATTTACCTCTAAACGTCTAATAGTAGCATTTTCTAAATCTAAGTTCTTTTGAAGCACCCCTTCTGCTGCTGCCATAGCTGACTTCAGAGTTGCAGTCGCTGTTTCATTAGATTTCAGCATCTCTTCCACTTGTTCTAGTCTCTGTCTGAGCATGCTGTTTGCTCCTCTGTCCGACGGCAAAAGAAAAGAAGCTGGTATGCTTGGTTCAAGCAAACCAGGGAACCTTTGATTTAGTCTGTTGATCACTTCTAAAGTGACTCTGTCAAGAACGGCATCAGCTATTCTGGCAGAGTCCACACTTCCTCTAGATGTTGTTTGAACATCTGGAGCAGGGTTCATCAAAGGTTGTGCTGGGAAGTCATCAACACCTTCCTGAGCTACAACATTTTCCTCAATAGAACCGGAGCTTCTTAGAGCCTCCTCAACAGAGTTGTTGCTGTTTGCGTCATTTAGATGAAACGAAAATTTAATTAATGTTTGGATTTTGTTTATAACTTCTACAATGAACTTCTAGTGGCGGATCCGCACATCTACTTCTAATATGGCTTCTAATTAAGTTTTTTTTTCATGTAATTTATATGCATATAATTTTATTTTGATTGTTATCATTTTGTTATACTTACCATGAGAAACATGACCCTGTCTTAAGGTGGGTGGCGTTCCCGGAGGAGTGCCACTTTCGGCATCACCATATTTTGAGATGTCTCCCATTTCGATGAGTAGTAGACCTCTAGATAAATACCAAACATTTCAATTAGTTTCTCATGGATATATAGCAGTTTCTTTTCCTTCCCGTCAAAACGTTTGATAGTTCGGATTGGAAACGACGTTTGCTCTTAGCACACACTAATACTCAACACGTGCACCCCACTAAAGGGTCGTACGACAAAGTCCTTTAAGCAGGGGGCGATCGCACACATACAAAGCATCAGGAATGTGTTCCAAGCTTATGCTAGTCTATTGAGAGAAAAACGTTCGAACATCGCCCGAAATTTCTCGACTTTACAATTTAACTTTATGTTATGATTAGTTTCACTTTAATTTAGTACATTATAACATTTTATAATTTCAACAACTTTCTAATTTTTCATCAATAGAATACGTCTAGTTTATTCTTCGAATACTTCTAATTTTTAAGAACAATCATTCTAATTTATTCTTCTAGTTAATTCTATTTAATTTCATAATCACATCAATTTTTACTTTCGAAATACATCTATTTTATTATATCTCTTCATTTGATGATTTGAAATTATATCCCAAATACTTTTGTTTTCGTTTCACATTCTTTCTTTTAATTTTTCTATTTCTGGAATTTCAGACACGCGCCGACCTGTTGCTCGGTTCTTTATGCCTTTTACACGTGCTCGGCTCGGCGTCATGACGTCGCGCATTTGCTTTGCCGGTCGAGACATGCAACGCTTGCTTTCAAACGAACTTCCAAAATTTTATTACGACAGCCTCTAAAAGAGAGCTCGCGATGCTACTTTCTTTAACTAGTTTATTTTTCACCAATCCTCTAATAACACTCATACTTCTAAATCGCAACCTTTTTAAAAAAACTCACACTTCTGTAAAACTCGCGATTTCGTCAATTTTCATCTACACTTTTCATCTAAATCACTCACTTCCACTTACTTGATTATTTGTCAATCTTCGCGCAGCGGAAGCGTGCTGGGGCCCGTAACCTGTTGTAATATAGGCGGAGGATATTAAAAGTACACACGAGTTGCAATAGGAAAAAGTGTTTATTGCTGCGCACTGCCAAGCGATTGCAGAAGGAATGAGCTCCTTGCTTGTATATAGAATCGGCGGCTCGCAGGCCTTAACTTGAAGACACAGCACACACACGCTCCCACAAAGCGCGCGCATGCGCATACATATGAAATGCCGAGCAAGCTGATTTTAACAATAGCTAACTTATCATTTATGTCAACTCAAATCATATCGTCATCATCATTAAGCACAGTTTTGAAGCATAATTTTATATACGTTGTTGCATGTCAGTTGACAGGGAACGGTAGATAAAATCAACCTACTACGCAGTACGAATGGCACTCGCTAGAGGGGTCTGACGCTAGCTAGTGTCAGCTATTCCGATGAGCGAGCCTGGCGATCTTTGCCGGTGAAAACGTCCCAGATTTCTGTTGGCCGACCGTATGAGTGGGGTCTCCTTCTCTCTTACTCCCTGATAAAACGTCGCTGCCTCGCCTCCTGTATACAGTCTTCATGGTGCTAGGGCATGGTAATATCCAACGGACATGCGCGCTCTGCTCCAGGCAGTGCCGTAAGAGTTGAGGGGGATAAAACGGTTTTTCATTTATATATCGTTAAATAATCGTTCTACCGACGATTTTCTACTAGATGCCATTGATGTATAGGATGAACTAAAGATTGATTTATAACTAAATTTTCTAGATCCGGTTTTTATAATTATATAGCCTGAATGAGTCTTGGCTGCTAGGCCTACCACCTAAAACTCATTTTAATTATTTTAAACGAGTAATTGTGGACGAACTAACGAACGAATGACTGCTACAAAAGTTGCTTTATTTTCGACGAACTATCTAATGATATAATTTATTTATCAATTTTCTAAATAAAGCTGATGTGTTTTAATTATTTAGATTTCTAATCTCTGACTTTACTATTTTAAAAAACAATTTAGGACGCAACTAGAAGCATAATATGGTCTGTGGCGAATAATTTGATTACTCACATGTGTCTAATATTTAATTTATTATTATTTTATTGAAAAATAAATAATTACTAATAAATTTTCAAAAATAATTTTTATATAGGAAGCAATTTCATTTTCTTAGAGAGCATTTAAGGAGTAATTTCTAGATGTACTGCAAATTAATATTTATTATAAGTGCTTGCTAACTATTTTATCTGTATGGTATAGCCAGTGCCAATGAATAGTACAAAAATAAAAACAGGCATTGCCAGTCTTGCAATGGGTATGATAATAATAAAAATCGGATGTTAAAATTTTAGAAATTAAGAATATCTTATAATAAACTTGAATTGTTTATAATTCTTTGGAAATAATTTATTGGACAAGTCATTTTCTTAATTGAATTGTATACATTCTTAATCATTTTGTTATATTATTGTATTTATTTAGTTTGACTTGAGCTTCATAAAGCTGTTTGTAATTAATTGTTGCTATTATTCCATTGCATAAATTATTATACGTTTTTCAAGTAAATTTTATCACGTCTAAGCTAAATATATCATGGTGTCTGTGATGCAAGCTTTCATGGTAAGAAATCAGTTAATGAAAATTTAAATATTCAATATATGGGTGATTGTAAATAAAGCTTAATCAAAAAATTATAATCAAAATATTAAGATTCCAAATCTTTAAAAGTTATTATATATATTCCACTATTCTAATTTATTAGTAGCTAAAAGTAGCAAAACTTTTCAGATCTAACTAAATAAAGTTTATAATGAAATACCTTTACCTTATTTGAATAAAATTGAAATTTAATGTTGTTGTAAGTATTAAAAACATATGTGTTAGATAATTTTTTATTTATCAAACATTTGCTAATTTAGATTTTATTAACATTATTTATTAATTTTAGTAACTTTAATTATATTTTAATTTATATTTTAAGCCTATTTGGATCTTTTTAATTTTTTTAATCATTACTTCAATAGTGTTCAAAATTAAAAATGGTGTTATCATAGACTGAGAAATCTTATACATAAAATATTTCTGAGAGATCTATCAAATAAGAATCAACTGTACTTTGTAGAAATAATGTAAAAATATAAAAGAAATTCAAGATGTTGCTAAAGTGTTATTTGACTTGTCTTTACTATGCTAGTGCATTTTTATACATTCATCCATATATGTTATTCTATGCAAAATGATTTTTAGTTTATGAATATTAGTTTAATCTACAGGATATTGAAAGTTCACGAAGTTATATAGATGAGCTATATGCAACAGATCATCAGAAATGTTTAGATGCAATTATGTAAGTAAACAAAAATACTAATTTTGCAAGTTCTATTTAATAAAAAATATTAATAGTACTTTATAAGAAATACTACCATTTACAATTAAAATATAATACTAATTATTACTAATTATATTTAAATTTATTAAATATAAAAATAAGCTAATATTTATTACCTTATTCTTAAAGTACGTTGATAGAAAAGTATTTTTTTAATGTACTTATTTTCAGATGTTTGAAAAATTCTGTGATTGGGAGCAATCGTCAAAAAGGTTCAGTCATTGCTCAAGGTGTTGTCCCCAGGCTTTTACAACTTTTATGTGATTCTGATCATGTTACAAATGATAACATTCGTTTAGAAGCTGCAGTTACTCTAGGATCATTAGCAAAAGGAACTGATCAACATGTTTTAGCCTTAATTGATTTGGGTGTAGTTAATTCACTATTACAAGTTATGTCAAAATCTATCGAATCTTCATCAAATATTGAAGATATTAAATTACATCATTTGCTGGTTGAAGCTTGTTTGAGGTGTTTAAGAACAATTTTTCAACATTCATCAGCACCAGTCTCATTAATATTTCAAGATCAAGAACTAATTCCATGTCTTCTACAGTTGTCAAACATATCAATAAATTGTCAAGTTTATGTTGCCATGATACTGACAACTGCTTGTAAGGTAAAGGAACAAAAATTTGGAATTGTATAATAAGTACTGGGGATGGTAAAGTAATGGTAAATTAATGGTAAATTAAAAAGGAAGATGGAGCCTAAACATGACACATAAAAGTATCTAATTAGGGCAAAGCTAAGCACTGTAAGCATGGAGTAAAACTGTATATCTCGAATATTTATTACATTGCATATATTTTAACTAGGTTTGGGAAAGATATGTAATCATTTTTATGATGACAACCATTTAATATCAGAAAAAGTTAACTAGTATTAGCTTTGAGAATATTTTTTGACACATCATCATTTTAGTTGTATATGTTTGAAATTCTTTGTTAAAATAACCATATAAGTTGCAAGAAAACATTTAAATAAATCATTACAAAAATTAATATGTATTCATAATTTTTGTTAAAAAAAACAAAAATTTTGAAACATTGTATATACCTTGCAATTCTTTTTACCTGGGATACAATACATCAAAAAAACTTTAGTCAGTAGGAGGGCATTTTTCCGTTGCAAAAGAATTGAATATTAATTTCAATTATCCATAAATAATTAGCAAAAAAATATAAAATTGAGCCTTTTTTTCAATATCACGTGGACTTTAACTTACTTCTGGGAAAATTCAAGTATTTTTCTTAATGTAAGAATTTTAAGTTTCTGTGTCATGAACTTCATTAACTTCTTGCATTATTGTTATGAGTCATAAGTTAATGTGTTCTGCCAAGTAGACAATTTAGCCCTGCAAATTGATATACTTAACGATTACATTTTTCATTAAAGTTGATCCGTCATGGATTCTTTGAATACTGAATTTGATGAATACATCATTAAAAATTTATTTTATGCACGTGAGTACTATTAAAAAAATTACAAACCAAAATATCAATAACAATTTGCTGCTCACCTTTACTAATATTTTTCATCACTTTCTGCCATTATATTGTCATTTAATTTTGAAAGTTAATAATTGGAAGTCATAATATTATTCAAGTAGATTATTACAGTTTGCTCCCACATCTTCTGAAATTACTGTTACAATATGCTATGGGCATAGCACTTCACTTCCTGTGGAGTGTGTAAAATCTTTAGCTTATCAATAGAAAAAACAATTTTTTCCATTTAGAAACAGAATAAAAAGTTAATGCTTTTTTTATTGTTGAGTATAAATTATAATTTAATGTGCAATATTTATAATTTTAAGTAAGGTTTAAATGAAATAAGCTGTTAAAGTATCGATTCAATCACAATAACTTTCATTAATGAATAATATTTAATTTTCTATTGTAAATTCCAGATCAATGAAGAACAAAATATTTTACTAAAAAGTGGAGCAATCAATACTCTTGCAAAACAATTAGAAAGTACACTTGCTGATGTTCAATTACCAGCATTGGCATGCCTTGCTAACATGTGCTATCAAAATCAAGAAGTTGCATCATTGATAATATCTACTAAAACTTCAGACAATCAAAAAGGAAAATATATTCCGGATGTACTAAGTCGTCTCACAGGAAGAGATAAAAATTCTCTAATACAGCTTGAGGCTGCACGTTGTATATCTTACATGTATAGAGCTCAAGCCCTGCCAGCTACAGATTCTAGAGTTGTTTACAAAGCCCTGCCTTGTTTAATACGCCTTTGTCATAAAGAAAGACCTGCAAGAGAAAGAGTAGCAGCTGCTGAAACTTTAGCATATTTAACGGAAGTTGATACTGATTTACAGAGACTTGCATCTATTAGCAATCATCTTATTCCTACATTGGCAGAATTTCTTAAACCAAATTCTCAGGTAATAAATTTTTTTAATAACAAAAATTTATTTTGTATACATAGCTTATAATTTTAATGAAATGTTAACTATTAAAAGACTTTAGATGCAGCTTTATTGCAAGACATGAGACAAGCAGCTTTCAGAGCATTTGCTTCATTAGGAGCTAACGATGAAGATATTCGTAAAAGAATAATAGAAACTGAAAATTTAATGGAACAAGTGGTAGCTGGTCTTCAAGACCCTGGTGGTTCAAAAGTTCGTTTAGCAGCTGTACGATGCCTTCATTCATTATCTCGAAGTGTCCAACAACTTAGGACGACATTCCAAGATCATGCTGTATGGAGGCCATTAATGCAGTTACTTCATGGTGCAGATAAAGGTTCTGATGGTGGGTTATTCCAACTTAATTAAATTTTTGAGTCATCTCATCACTGATTTCTTTCAGGAAAAAATGAAGGAGAAGATGACTTATTAACAGTAGCTTCAGGTACATTATGTAATCTTTTGTTAGAATTCAGTCCTAGCAAAGAGCCTATTTTAGAATCAGGAGGAGTTGAATTACTATGTTCATTAACAAAGAGATCAGATCCAGCACTGCGATTAAATGGAATTTGGGCTCTTATGAATGTAGCTTTTCAAGCCGAGCAACGGGTTAAGTCTCAAATATTAACATGCCTTGGTACAGATCAAATATTTCGTCTTCTTGCTGATCCAGAATTATCAGTACTGATGAAAACATTGGGCTTGCTGAGAAATCTTTTGTCAACTAAAACTCATATAGATAGAATAATGGCTGACCATGCCGCGCATGTAATGCAAGCAGTTATTCTAGTTCTTGAGGATCCTGTACATCCAGCCGATGTTAAAGAACAAGCTCTTTGCATTTTAGCAAATGTAGCAGATGGCGATCGAGCTAGAGATCATATTATGGCTAATGAAGATGTTCTTAAAAAATTAATGGATTACATGGTAAAATAGCTGTGTGATTGGACATTAAAAAAATTTTAATAATACATAACGATACTGGTGACATAAGTAACATTTAATGACATAAGTTACGTTTATTACTTTATAGCACTCGTGATATAATTCCGCTAGTACTGTCAAGAACGGCGCCTGATTCGGTGCGAGTAGAACCATCTCAAAATATCACATGATTTATTATATAACATACCATAATATATGATGCATCACATGATTTTTTCTACTAATAATCATATCATGAATCATATGAATAACCCTGTGATAAATGATATAATAATAATCTATATCAACAGTTTAAAAATATGTCACACAATAAATCATGTGAAGAATTATGTGTTGAGCATAAGATTATAGTAGATTTGGTCTGAAAATATGATCTTCATCCTTCAGCCTCATCGTCTTCTTCTAAAAAAAATCTAACGACACAGTAAATCTCCTTCACTCATGATCCGATTGATTAAAAGATAGTTACTTGTACACTAGGCGTGAATGATCTGGCGACCCGGGAAATTAAAAATTGAAAATAAACTAGGTCGTTTGAACACCACTGTAATCATTTCTAGACAATAATTTCTAGACAAAGCCATTTCGGCTTAAAGCATAACCTTACATCTTAATAAATAAAATCTGTAATCTTAACCTAGGTCGGTCACAGTGGTGCTCAAATGTCCTAGCTTATTTTCAATTTTTAATTTCCCGGGTCGCGAATTAACCCACGCCTAGTGTACATAGTTTGTGTGTGTATGTATGTATGTATGTGTGTGTATTTTGAATACACTCATGAAAGATTAATGCAGATTTTAATGGATGTTTATAAGTTGGAAATGCGTATCAGTATAGTTCGCATGAATTTAACTTGAATTGATTGATTTAATCATACTAATCTCAAAATAAAAACTGACTGATCTCTATGTAAAAGGTCCTCTCTTCGAACAAAGTAGACAACAAAGGATGTAAATCAATAGATTATCATGATAAAAATATTAAACAGTGATTTCGGGTTTATTTTGTTACATAAATTATTGGAAAATTTTTTTGAAAATGCACTAATTACAACTGTAAACGTCTATCGAAATATGTTATTACATCATGAAGGGATGTAATTATAGAATACTATAATGTTTTTTGAAATTATGTTCTTAGAATTTTTAGAACGCAAAAATCACACGCAGTTATTCTATCCAATGAAAATATAACGAGTAGTTAAAGAGCAAATAATGTTTTTTACGTCAGTGATACATGCATCAGAAAGATCAGTCGGTAACATAGATCTACATTTATGTTGGATTCTTCTTTAAGAATTATGCGTATATAAGATGTATTAATAAGCATGGATTATTTTCTAGAATAATCGTCTATGTTAAATATTTGTTAAAAGTGGATTTTTAACCTAGACGAGTCATGGAGTACTTAAAATTATTAGGTTATTGAAAAAAAATAACCCATTTCTTTCAGAACAACTCTTAGACTAGCATTTTTGAGAAGATATTGTCTACGTTAAAGTAGTTGACATTGCTGGATATTTGAAAAATAACCCATATTTATAGGTACAGTCCTTTTTATATCATAGTACTTGTTATCTTTTAATCTTTCAGATACATGTATCGTTGTAATAAGAAATAATATTTATTTCTTTATAATGTAGGGTTATAATAATATTTGGATTGGACAAAAAATTGATAACTACATTAAAACTACCTAATATTGATCTGGGAGTATTCAACTTTTGAAATGTTTTTATTAAGAAAATTTTAATTATGTGGAATATTAATAAGTTTTGCTATCCTCGCCATTCACTCGTAGTTTTTCTATAATTTTTTCAGGTCAGTTTTCGTTGTTTTCGCATTGAGTTCTTTCATTCTATTAAATAATTCTTTATATGATTTAAATAAATGTGGTCATTTTATTAAAAAAATGTTTGGTAAAAAGGTATAAACTAACTTATAAAGAAAGTTTTTTTATTAACATTTTAATAGTTTGTTATACTTTCAAATTAAATTCGAGAAAAATAGCGTGATTTATATACATGTTGTACGTACTCGACATCGCTAGTATTAGAAACCTTTTTTTAACTGAAAATACTCGTTATGAAATAATTACGGAAAACATAAATTTCAAATTAATTCACAATTAGCATTATTTATATGTTTTTACTTCTAATAGTAACACATTAGCTGGACGATTGGGAATTGGCGATTGGACGCATTTGGTTCATTGTCACAATGTCGACTAAAAATTGTTGTAAACCATATTTTTAAATATTATATGATCCATTACGTGACCTATATCAAACGATTTTTCAATCGATACACTTTCTTTAGACCAAATCCATTGTAATTATAAAATTTATCACGTGGTTCTTTACATGATTTATTATATGATTAATAGCACGATTCAACATGATCCATCACGTGATTATTCAATGAAAAACCATGTGATAAATCATCATATTTAACCCAAACGTTGCCTAGCACATGATTTTTTCGAAATCTAGTGATGTTAGTATATTTTAGTTACAAATCATTCACAAGTAATTGCAAAGTATTATTTTCATTTTTCATAGTCACCACGCCAACTTCAAATTTCGTAATTAAAGCTTTTAGTTCTCTAGTAGCGTCAAAAAGTTTCTAACTTTTAACTATAATGTAGTAATTCATGCCAAAAACCTTTCAATAATTTTAGTGGAAAGCAGAGCGTGATCAATTTTTGATTCTATCCTATACTCTAACAAGCATGAACCTTAAAAAAACTTATACACATTATAATATACAAACCTGAAACCTGAAACCTTTAAACTCCAAATCCACAAATCTTAAACCAACAAATTCAAAACTCACAAGCCCTAAACCCACAAATTTCAAACTGAAATTGAATGGAACATTAAGTTCAGAAATCGGGTTTTTTGAAGTTTTAGTTCGAGGTTTGTGGGTTTAGGAGTTTATGGACTTGAAATCTATCTTGTTAAACATAATTTTCAGTCTATATTGTCTCATTTATTTATCTTTTCGCACCGTGATCATGTTTAGCGTCTACAGTGTCAATTCCGAGAAACATACGACGATTATTACTGCGACGTCGTTTACATAGGCGACGAGAGATGTGCCCTCAGGCGCCTTCTGTCTCGACAAGTCATCGTAAAGCATATTCCATAAGTTCAGTTAGGTTACTTGTTTTTTTATAGTTTCATACGTCTCAGATAATACCTCATTACTCTTGTCAAGTAGGAAGAAACGTGGAACTAGATCCATGACTAGTTCTTCGCCTACTCTAGACCTCTTCGATGACCTTTTCTCTTACTCCTATCGTCGACGTACCTTTGTGATATTGTGTGCAGTATTGTGTCATTTTATTATTTTTATAATAATGTTACTATGAGTTGGAAACATTTTGCATTAGTGAGTTTTCTATTATTATTTATTCTATTATTGTTATTATATTTATCTGTTTATTGCGTAATAATAAAAATTGTTGCTATTTAGATTGTGGAGATTTTACCATCTGTTACAGTGCCCGTCAATTGCTGTTGCCTACTCAAACAGAGATTTCTCAAAATTTTAAAGTTTAATATCTCAATGGAAAATTGATGTACAGAGACCAGCCAGGACGCGTTTGAAAGTTCTTTCCAAGACTTTTTATATGGTATGTATAGCAAATATGATAGTTCATTCTCTAAATGTTTTTAACGATAATTCATTGTTGAAAATTTGATTTTTTTACTCACCTTTCACTCCTGCCTGTACCGGAAGGAAAAGGCGTAAAAAAATTTTAAGTATACCATTTTTTAGCTCTTTCCAAGGATATACGAGGTCTGTCCGGAAAGTATCGGGCCTACCTTTATATTTTTGTGCTAGCGTTATTTTTTATCATCTGGTGGCTGGCATCCTTCAAAGTAATCCCTACTTGATTGAATAACACGGTTCCATCGATGTTTCCACTTTTCAAAACAGTCCTGGAACTCACTTTTAGGGATAGCCTTAAGTATACTCGTCGTAATGTTTTCAACCGTTGTTTTGTCATCGAATCGGTGTCCTTTGAGTGGTTTTTTTTAGTTTTGGAAACAGCCAAAAGTCACAAGAGGCTATGTCGGGACTGTATGGAGGTTGTCGAGGCAATGCGATATTGTGTTTGCTCAAAAACTGCTGCACAAGATTGGATGAATGCGCATTATCGTGATGGAGAAGCCAGTCACCACTTTCCCAAAAGTGCGGCCGTTTTCTTCTTACTGCATCACGCAAACGTTTCAAAATTTGAAGTATTCTTTATTGATTGTCTGACCTGTTGGTGCATATTCGTGATGTACAACACCTTCACAATCGAAAAAAACAATCAACATTGACTTAACATTGCTCCGACTTTGACGTGCTTTTTTTGGTCTTGGCGATTCAGAATGCTTCCACTGTGAAGATTGTTGTTTGAAGGATGATAACCATAAACCCATGATTCATCACCTGTAATAATTTTTCTAGGTACATTATCATCATTATTGACCATTTCCAGATTGTCCAGAGCGATTTCTAAGCAAATGTTCTTCTGCTCTGCTGTGAGCAATTTTGGGATGAATTTCGCACACACGCGTTTCATTCCTAAATTTTCAATTAAAATTTCTGAAATGATAGTTTTTGGTATCCCAAGGTCTTCTTCTAGTTCTCGCACAGCCATACGACGATCTTGTTCGATTGCAAGTCGCACCCGCTCAATATTATCTGCGGTTTTTGTCGTCGAAGGTTTTTGTCGGACGGAACGAGAATCACTATCGACAGAAGTGCGACCATCCTTGAACCGTTTATACCACTCTTTTATTCGTGTTTTGCTCATACACTCGCTTCCGAAGGCCTTTTGCATCATTTTAATAGTTTCCGAACTCGTTTTCCCGAGTTAAAAGCAAAATTTGATGCAAATTCGTTGATCTTGTTTTTCAGTCATTTTTGACAATATCAAAATCCGACGAACGCAAAAAAGGCACTGTAAACAAAGACACGCTGCGCATGAACTATACGTCCGGCAGGTGTCAGTAAGTAACCAATAGGTTCGTGAGGCTTTACTGTTTATGTTTCTGTCCGGTAGAGGTCGCTCGAACACTATGGCGCGAAGATATAAACGTAGGCCCGATACTTTCTGGACAAACCTCGAACAAGAAGCTCATTAAAAATTTGAATTCCCCAAGTATATTGCGTGCAATCGAGTTTTTATCAAAAAAGGACCACTTTGTCAATTCAAAATATCTCGATAAATATGATAGATACAAAAATATTTATTGGAAAAAAAAATGTTTGTTATTTAGAGTAGAATATGATAGAATTTTTTCAAATTTTTTTTCGAAAAAAAATTTTTTTCCACATTACATATTTTTTTAATGTATATGAAATTCAGTTATATGTATACTTACTCCATAAATATAGTATTGGAGGTGTTGTATTGATGTACAAATATTTAATATTCATATAAATTTATTATTCAAACAAGATTAATAGATTATCACATTCATTACACATACAACAATGTATTTCTCTTACAACTGTTATTCTTAGTTTTCCAATAGAAAAAAATAAGCATTATTTCATGAAACAATTTTTTTTTTCAACTGAAATCATAAATTGACATACGAATAGGTAGCAATCATTTAAACTTATATAATAAATCGTCATAATATAATAATAAATAAATATTAATAATAAGTAACATAAAACTTTAAAAGAAACCAAACATTACTTTCATCAAAGTGTCTGCCTTTACTTTTTATTACTGCATGGCAAACTCTAGGCATCCTGTTTGCTAGTTTCTTAAAAATAGCTTCAGAAACTTTCTTCCATTCTTGATGCAATATATTCTATAAATCTGTTTTTGATGTAGGGCATACCTTCCGGACAGCACGATCGAACTCTTCCCATAACATTTCAATCGGATTTAAATCGGAAGATTGAGGAGGCTAAACCATTATTTTAAGTTATTTCTTTTCTTCAAGATTTTTTAAATAATTCTTACAAAGGTTGGAAGTGTATTTTGGATTATCTTATTGGAATATAAAATTAGCACAAATTATTTTACTTCCTGATGGAACTACATGCCTTTGAATGATGTTATGATACCCTTCTTTTTTCAAAATCCTTTCTATCTTTACAAGGTTGCCAACACGGGAATCCGCAGAACATCCCCATACCATTATCGATCCGCCACCATATTTAACTGTTGGCACAATTTTCTGAAAATTTTTCATTCACTCTTCAACGTACATAAATTTTTCTCTTGGTTCCAAAGATTTCAAATTTCGATTCATCACTCCATAGAACTTTTTCTCAATCAGTTGTAGTCCAATTCTTGTACTTTCTAGCCCAAAACAAACGTTTTTTTCTGTTCACCTCTTTGAGTAAAGGTTTCTTTACAGCTATTCGACCAAAAAGGCCTTGACCTCGAAGTCTTCTTCTGATAGTTGATTCGCTTATCAATTCTTTGAAATTTTTTTGAATGTCAGACTTGATTTCAGCTATAGTTAATTGCCTATTACGTAAACTGGTTAGTGATATATATTTGTCATGTTGTTTAGTTGTCACTTTTGGTTTGTTTCCTCTATATCTATTAGCTATAGTGCCGTTCTTAAGAAATTTATTAACATTGTAATCTACAGTAAGTCTAGGAATTTTCAGGTCACTTGCAATTTGGCGATTGATTTTCCTAGCTTTATGGAGGCCCACAATCATTGAACGTTTTTCAACAGATAGATTTTTCTTCTTTGCCATAGTCAAAGCAATTATATCTGAAAATAATAATTTCATACTAATATCCAGTTATGGAATAAAATACAGTGAAAACTAGCGTAAATTCTTATCAATCACCAACCGCTAAATATAACCGCTGTTTGACAATATTTTGATAAATAATAATTTTTAAATATAATACTAATACTTACGATAATATAACGCCAACTGTAAACTCTTAAAAAAATTGTAACACCATTATATCTAAAATTCAAAATGATATCAGTGAGCCAAACTATTTTTATAACAAATAGAATGCGAATACTTTTGTTTTACTTCGTGAAAAATATATGTAATATTTTTTTTTTAATTAGAGCAAATAAAAGTATAGTGAAAAATTTTTTTTCAAAAAAAAATTTGAAAAAAAATTTGAAAAAACTCTGTCATATATTCTACTCTAAGTAATAAACATTTTCTTTCCAATAAATATTTTTGTATCTCTTATATTTATCGAGATTTTTTGGATTGACAAGAATGATCATTTTTTGGTAAAAACTCAATTGCACGCAATATACTTGGAGAATTCAAATTTCTAATAAACTTCTTGTATAGCCTTAGGAAAGAGCTAAAAAATGGTCTACTTCAAATTTTTTTATGGCTTTTGCTTCCGGTACAGGTAGGAGTTAAAGGTGAGTAAAAAAAATCGAATTTTCAACGACGAATTATCGTTAGAAACAATTAGAGAATGAACTAATCATATTTGCTATACATACTATATAAAAGATTTTCAAAAGACCTTTCAAACGCGTTCTGGCTGGTCTCTGTATATCAATTTTTCACTGAGATATTAAACTTTAAAGTTTTGAGAAATCTTTGTTTGGGTGGGCAAAAGCAATTGACGGGCACTGTACGTATTAAATTTATATCATAACAATACTTGTTCTAAATTACTATGTAGGTGTGACTATAGAGCCTACTACCAGCGTCGACCCTAGCTATATAATTTTTTGACTTCTTTTCTGATCCACTCTTACCCCTCGCTTTTAATACTGCTGACGGATTTAGATGTCACTTGCGTTAAAATGCTAATAATGTACTTATGTCATAACTGGCACTTAACGACACGGTGTTTAGCGATCTAACGCTACTATATATATATAGTACATATATATACAGTACATATTTCTGTTAGTGCTATAAATAACCCTACCCTTATATATATATATATATATATATATATATATATATATATATATATATATATATATATGTATATTACTATATATACTGTATATACAGTATATATACGAGGTGTGTTCAAAAAGTAAGGTGACTTTTCAAATTTCACGGGCAACGTACTTTCGATTATCGATTTTTTTATTTTGTTATGTTGCTACACTCTTTCCGAACATCTGTACCAAGTTTCAAGTGTATAGCATTGTTTGTTTGGTTGTGAGAGGCGTAAAGGTTATAAGTGTTTTGCGTGCTCGGCGATTTCTTGCTATCGAAAAATATGGATCAAAGGATTTGCATCAAATTTTGTGTAAAAAATAAAATAAAGTGCTCCGAAACACTTGAAATGTTGACGGTGGCATACGGTGAAACTGTTCTGAGTAAAAAAAATGTTTACAAGTGGTACAAACTCTTCCAAGATGGCCGAGAAGATGCCAATGACGAGCCTCGCTCTGGACGCCCAAGCACGTCAACAACTGATGAAAACGTTCAAGCAGTGAAGAAAATTGTTCTGAAAAATCGTCGAATCATTATCAGAGAAGTTGCTGAGGATGTTGGTATATCGCTTGGCTCATGCCATGAAATTTTTTCTAACGTTTTGGGCATGAGACGTATGTCAGCAAAGTTTGTTCCGAAATTGCTAAATTTTGACCAAAAGAACCGTCGCATGAGCATCGCTCAAGAACTGTTGAATGACGTCAACGGCGACCCAGATTTACTCAAAAGGGTCATAACTGGTGACGAATCATGGGTATATGGTTATGATATCGAAACCAAAGTCCAATCGTCCCAATGGAAGAGCTCAGATGAGCCAAGACCGAAAAAAGCACGCCAAGTTCGATCAAATATCAAAGTTTTGCTCACTGTTTTCTTCGATTACCATGGCGTGGTGCATCAGGAGTTCTTACCATATGGACGTACGGTCAATAAACAGTATTATCTTGAAGTTATGCGCCGTTTGCGAGAAGCAATACAAAGAAAACGCCCAGAATTACGGAAAAACAATTCATGGCTTTTGCATCACGATAATGCCCCTGCTCACTCATCTTTGCTTGTGAGAGATTTTTTGGCCAAAAACAACACCACAATCATGCGTCAGCCACCATATTCACCGGATTTGGCCCCATGTGACTTTTTCTTGTTCCCAAAACTAAAGAGACATATGAAAGGACGGAGATTTGCAACGATTGAAGAGATAAAGACTGCATCGCTGGAAGAGCTGAAGGCTATACCGAAAAGTGCTTATGAGAAGTGCTTTGAGGATTGGAAAAACCGTTGGCATAAGTGTATTGTATCTGAGGGGGATTACTTGAAGGGGACAACATAAATATTGATAAATAAATAAATATTTTTTCTTAAAAATACAAAGTCATCTTACTTTTTGAACACACCTCGTATATTAAATATCAGTATATTAAAAAATTGAAATTCTATAGATTTATCATTACAGATGCACAGTAATGTCAAACTGCAAGTAGCTGCTATTTTTTGTGTTTGTAATTTGGTATGGCGAGAAGAACCTGGCGCTGCACAACGTCAATCACGGTTAAAGGAATTAGGATTGTATCGAATCTTACTACAGCTACGACATACGAAAGATACGCAGCTTTTTGATAAGTATGATTTTTTATGAAAATATTTTTCTTTGCACTTTTTAAACAAGAACGTTACAGGTTATCTATGTTGTATTTTTTCCTTTACCCTAGTTTTATCAAATTTACCAATCTAAAATTGATATTTAAAGCTGAACTATGGTTTATAGTTCTTATATGATCAGTACTAAGTCACTTTATGAAAATAATTACTTGAATTAATAATTTTCATAAAATGTAAGTAACAATTCAATATTAAATTACAGTCTTTGTTTTGTCACAACCGAATGCACAGACGTCTTTTCGCAGGCGTTGTCGTACTAGAAATAATAAAGTTATATTTTGAGCTTATTTACACATATAACATGCAGATGCATATATGTGAATACTTATAAGCGGAGTTTTGTTCCGTTATAAATGTATTCTTCGCGTTTTAACCTTCATCCCTCGTTAACCAATAGAAATAATTATGCTTTACTACTCCACTATAAAAGTCAAACTAACATTTCTAAATAGCAATAAAAAATGAATTTAACTTTAAAAGAATTGAAATCACAGATGTAGCTAAGTAACACATGTTAAAATCTTCTATCACATGTAGCATAACAATGTGTATACCAGGTGTGTCCGAAAAGTATTCGGAATACCTTCATATCTTCAGGCTGGGTTAATCTTCGTCGTCGGACGAATGACATCCTTCAAAGTAGACCCCATTTGATTGAATAACGCACTTTCAGTGTCTTTTCCACTTCCTGAAGCAACCCTGGAAGTCAATTTTTGGAATAGCCATTGGTGTACTCGTTGCATTTGTATGAATTGTCTCTACGTCGTCAAACCGATTTTCTTTAAATGACATTTTTAATTTTGGCAATAGCCAAAAGTCACGGGGAGCTGTGTCAGGACTGTAAGAAGGCTGGCAAAGCCGTACTATTTGGTACTTTATCAAATATTGTTGTATAAGTTTCGATGAATCGCTGGCGCATTGTGGTCGTGAAAGAGCCAGTCACCGCTTGACCAAAATTGAGGCTGTTTTCTTCTTATTGCATCACGCAATCGTTTCAGAACATCACGATAAAATTCTTTATTGATTTTTACTTGTAGGAGCATAAGTTGTAGGAGTTATAGGAATCCTGACCTACATTTATCATCCGAGCAACTACTTTCTTTCTTACCAGAAGTCAATAAAGAAGTCACCCTGATGTACCGACACTTTTTTATCGGTCCCGGTAGTACCGCCGTTTTCTTTATCGGCGTGTGTCGCAGTCCGATGAGAGTCTCCATACTACTTTAGCGATCGTCCCCATGCTCCATTCCCCCATGCGTACAAGTAATGAGTAATGGGTGAAAAGCAAAAAAAAATACTATTTGATAAAAATGTATTTTTATTCATTCATAAGAGACATAGACAATAAATTGTTCTGAACATATCATGTTTCAAAGTTTTTTAAAATCTTCTAACTTTGGCTTTAATTTAGAGATGAATAAATAATTTTTACAAATAATTTTAGAGATGAATAAATAAATAATTTTTTTCAACTGATTTTCATATAGACTATTTGTCTTTTTTTTTTATTTTTCGAACTCCCGTTGGTCTCTAGGAGATGAGCGTATTGTGCACTGATATTTTAGTCCACGTTGATGAATGCAAATGTATTCTAATGAGCATGGTTTGGACTAGAAACTATTTGCTTATAAATCCAGAGGTCTTGCTGGAAAAAAATTAGAATGAGTCTCGTCTTTGCTCTGTACCCAAGCTTTTAAATGTCGCTTTCTTTTTTAGGTTACGAATGTCAGTAAACGTTAATGAACTTCATATTGAGTTCTTTTCTGTTGTATCTCACATTTCAATTTAGTTATAGATTTTTGTATATTTTGGATTTCTATCAAGAGAAAGTGTTGTAATGTAGTCAAACCACGTTTACTATCAATATCTCTTAGTTTGCGTCCAAACACGTCGATACTTATTTTTGAAATGATTGAAAGGAACTTGGTGTTTTGAATTAAATAATAATTGCAGTAGAGGTAAGTAAAAAGAGCAGTACTTGGATTTTCATTTGTATTTATTTTTTTCAGTAAAAAACTGTATTACAAATTGTCATTATAAATATCATCATATTTATACAAGTTTTTTAACATATCCACTTATAGGATTATACTTAATTATGCGATCATGTAAAATTAAACAGTATGCCGCTATACCATCAGGAATATTATTTTTAGCCTTAAACTTTAAACGTACATCGATAGCAGCTTGTTTCAGTGAGTCGTTTTGTTTTGAATAATTTATCATTATGAATGATGCATTCGTAATAAATTATTTTCTGTCTAAAAGTGGATTATACATATAATCTCTATTGTAGTAGCTTAGTTGAAATTGTGTATACACACACACATACACACACACATACACGCACACGCGCCATATAAGATAAAGCATTGGTTCTTGTCGAGGTCAAAATTCAAATTGCCATAAGGATATTGCTCGGAGTTAAGAAAGAGTTTCACATCAGTTATGCTACAATAATCAAAATTGCTAGCATTTCTCTTCTTGTCAGTTTTGCGCTTAGCTTGAAAAATGAGTATGATAAATCTTAGTTTTTCTAATTAATTGGACGATTTGACAGTCCAAATATGTTTAGATATTTGCGGAAGTGATGAATACTGATAAAGTTTCCATGATCGAAAACTTATAGAATTAGAACATCTTTTTAAATCAAATAAAAAAGCTATATTTTATGCTTATCTAACATGATAACATAAGGCATCAACTATTCAATACGAGTTGTTTCTAGTTTGAGAGTTTCATACACATCATCAGCGCCAATCTTCACACAATTTTGCACGATTGTATTCTGATTATCTCTCAATTGAGTTAAAATAAGTTCATGTTTTACATTCACAATAATCTTTTGATAATCTTCTGCAAATCCTAAGATTATTAAAAGTGGTAATGATATATCAAAGTTACCATTAACATCTAATGTATTTCGAGTTTCTTCTACATGAAGCTATCCTGTATTTTCAAAAAATCTGCTCTGGTTTCGATTGAGTGAAACTAAACCTTTCATAGTGCTGGTCAATCCAACGTTTTACATTTATTTATCTCTACAGAATTAATTTCATAACGAATATCTTCAAATAGGTGACAAATAGCATTGTTTACGAACTTCTTACCAATAACTACAATACCATCATTTCTCATTAGTTTTCCAACTACATGTAGAGAACTTCTTGATTCTAAATGATATAAATTTTTATATTGAACTGCAATACGAATTTCATCACTATTATTAAAGTTTTACGAGGTGTATGGTTGATATGCATGAATTTTATAATCAGTGACAGACTCGTCAAAAGTGACTGGTGTTTGTACACTAAGTATTTCCTACATCTTTCACGTTATAGTAAGAAATGAATAGACACTTCGATTTTTCTAGACTTTGAAGTATTTTCTTCTTTTTCCTTGAGCGGTCTTTCCGATGATATTGAAATTGAGACTCTTCAGAAACTGAATCTTGTGATGTGTTAAACTTTTAACTGGTTTTATGAGTTCATGATGGGACATTTATATAGCCATTACCTGCTTAAGAATGATAAACTATTTTCATCATGAAACTCTTTTTATATGTAAACGAATTGTTGTGTATAACGAATTGTTATAATTATTATGACGAATTGTTATATTTTACCTTGAAAATTAATTAATCACCGTCTTAATCGACTAAACGTAACTGTAAATGATTAATTATATTGACAGTTAAAGGCAAATATATGATCTGTTTAGGAATTTCAATGATCTCATGACCAGGTAGTACGGCTGGAAAGAACTCATGAATACTGTGACCTTTATTGCGATTTATGGCACATTCCAGACTATGACGATCAACTTTTCAAGGGTAAGTTATGGATTTTCTTGAAACTTGGTCTACATGTTGTCTATATAGTAGTGTATTTAAGTATGGATTATTAGATCATTAAAATAATTATATGAAAAGTTACAAACAATTGAAAAGTTTTGACGAAAAATTTTCAAAAATTTATATCTCCGCAACCATTTAAGTTGTCGTAGCCAATTTTTCTTTTAATTACGCATAAAAGGGTGTACTTTGAAGATATTAAGCGAACAATACTTTAATATCAATTTTTCAAAAAGTTATTAACATTTTTTTAAACAATTGATCATATATCAAAAAGTGTTATTTTCATTTAAAAAATTCTTTTTTTAATGAATTCCTTGACATTTTATCTTTAAGACGCCGTTTAAAAAATTCATCGAGCGATCATTAGATGTGACACAGTGAGCGATAATAGTGGACGCTGATCCGACGATTCTACGACGCCGATAAGTCGATAAGTTTGGTAGCAGCGTCGACGCGCGGCCGAGCGAGCGTCGCAGGGCCTGTGAGCTCAATGAATTTTCAAACGGATTCTTAAAGGAAAAATGTCAAGGAATTCAATAAAAAAAGAATTTTTTAAATAAAAATAACACATTTTGATATATGATCAATTGCTTAAAAAAATGTTAATAACTTTTTGAAAAATTGATATTAAAGTATTGTTCGCTTAATATCTTCAAAGTACACCCTTTTATGCGTAATTAAAAGAAAAATTGGCTACGACAACTTAAATGGTTGCGTAGATATAAATTTTTGAAAATTTTTCGTCAAAACTTTTCAATTGTTTGTAACTTTTCATATAATTATTATAATGATCTAATAATCCATACTTAAATACACTACTATATAGACAACATGTAGACCAAGTTTCAAGAAAATCCGAAACTTATCCTTGAAAAGTTGATCGTCTTAGTCTGGAATGTGCCCTATATAAGCTTCCGATGTTCTGTTACACTCGACACGTAGATCATTTACTTTGAGAATGGCTACAGACATGTCGGATATATGGTTTATATTGGTTTTTAGCAATCATTGTATGAAGCCAAGTAAGCGTTCAATTGAGTTAGATGATTGAAAATTAATTGCATATTAGTTCGCTATGCAAAGTATTATTGTTATGCTTGATGTT